TTTTGTGAAAATTTAATTTTTCACATATTGGCATTTTCAAGGTGTGACTTTGAAGTTCCACGGGCTTGAAGACCCATGCTAGTCACATTTTCTGAAAATCCATGATACGTATATTTTATTATTAAAAATTGACGGTCATTATGCTGTTAACCATTATGTAATATTGCATCAGAATAGAAGAAAACACAATTTTGGGTGCTGCTGCCATGATGACCATTATGGGAAAACCATGTTACTTATGATTGCCGAACTTTCAAAAAAGAAATACAGGACTAAAATGCAGTCTGAGTTGGAAAAGCAGTCTGAGTGACTTCTTTTTCTGGAAGTTATACATTTTCAAAGTGTAAACTTGTCACATATTTTAATTACATTGGTATTACCTGTTGAGGATAATTAAAATTTGATGTTGAATTTGCAGTTGAACATAATGTGCTTTTGCATCAGAATTGACAGTAGCCTATTTTGTGCATAGTTATTTCCTGTTTTTTGTCTGTACATTTGACAGCTTTGCTGCCTTGTTCTTATATTGTGTTTACAGTGTTGCATATATGCTGAACAATGAAATAACCGCATAACTACTAAAATAGTGGCCCGATCATGCTGATTTTCGAACTTGACCTGCGTTTTAGTAAGATTGATTTTTCCTGTGAGTGTCATGACAACAGGCCTAACGGTTTTCCTTAAAATGTGTTTACAAGGTTGCATATATGCTGAAAAGTGAAAAAACAGCATAACTTCTACAATAATGGCCCGATCATGCTGATTTTCGAACTTGACCTGCGTTTTATGAATATTCATCAGCTCTGTAAATATAAAGCCAAAAAGTAAAACTGCCTCCCACTTATCTTGTTTACAAGGAAAGTGCACGGCGACGGCATCGGCATCGGCATCGGCGACGGCGACGACAGACGCAGGTGATGGCAATATGTACAGACACATCTGTGTCTGTACATAATAACAATTTACTTTTGATTTTTCAAGCCAATGAACAAACATACGAAAGATTAAGACTAATGAATCTTCACACCAATAAGTCTTTGAAGCAATGAACTTTCACAGTAAAAAAAAATCAAACTTAAGCATAGGGAACGCCTAGGTGTAGATTCTAAAAGCAGACATACTGCACACCTGAGGCGGGATAAAAAACATCTTAAAGTATTCCAGGAATGCCTGTGAATTATGGACCTTAATTTTTCCTACTTTCAGCTCATTTCCTTTGACTATAGGGATGTGCATGTGCAATCATTTAACTTATACCTCATCCACAAAATCTCAGACCTAGTTCATTTCAGGGTCCAATAAACTGAATCCGACTTATTCTTAATGATGTTAGAAACAGTTGTAACCATAAGTTGCCACACAGCATGCCCCCATTAACAGCTTGAGGTTTCCAAATTCAGTCAAAATGTGTATATGACTGAAAAATACTAATGCTGTGGAAACACCTGCTTGATTGCAGTAAGGACTACGTACTTATTTTTATTCCAAATCAACCTGACACTGTCATTTGAGCTTTTTGTAAAAGGGCAGAACCATGTACAGTTTATATAATAATCTTTCCTGTCAGTTGATGTGGAATATGTTTCACATCTTAAACTAGTTTGAGCATCCAAGAGTACTGCTACAGGTACATTCATTCTAAAAAAAAGTACCCCTGGAGTTATGAATATGCCACAGGGCATACAAAATTACATTTTATCACTTTTCACAAGTTTCACTTGGGAACTAGACCACTCAGTTCAATTTGATTCAAGCTGGTTACCCAACTTCTTACTGAAATTTCTTTCTGAAACTTTTTTTTTAATGTAAGCTGGATAACCCAAATATATAATCTCATACACAATTCAGGTTTCCATATTTATGCAAACATAACTAATGTGGCCAGCATACATTCATCTGTATTTTTTTCAAATCTTTTAAAATGAAATTTCTTTATTTAGTTCCCTTTTATTTTTCAACACTTCACAGGAGCTCCTCACATGTCATGAGTTCTGCAGTAATGTGGATTCTAAATATGCTCCAATAAATACACGTCAGTTAATTTAAGTATTTCATGTTCAATTATCACTCTATTTAATGCTGCCATTCAAACTATTATAAAAAAGAGGTTTAGCAGTCACATGCAGCCCCTTCTAATCTTTTTTAAAATAAATTAGTAAATAAATTAAGTTAATGATTTAAAAAAATGGAGGGTGTGACTGCTAATCCCTCTGTAGTAAGGGTAAAACATGACATCTTTAATTCCGTGACTCAAGGTTAGCACAAGCTTACACACTGCATATTGATTTAAGGAAGCCAGAGTAAAAACAACTCAATATGCAAGTTTTTGTTACTAACGATAAAAGGCATGTGACATAAGATGCTTGATACTTAAGGCCTGTTCCCAACTGTCATGACCTAACTTAAATATGTACTACTCTATTTGTGTATCCTTCCAGGCTGTCTATTTGCAATTTCTAATTATAAAAGGCCTCTCTAATGGCAGGTAACTTACACCATTTGGGTGGGACAACAGAAGGATCAGATTGGCTGTATATGGTTAGAAATCTCAACCAGATGGTTTGCAATAGGAAATACTCACATTGGGCCAACCCATCTCCTCTGGAAATCAACCTTTATTTTAAAATTCTGAGTACTACACTCACTACTTACCCTCGGATCCAAAATTGATTTTTGATGAGTGAGATTAAGTCGTCCCAAGACTTTTATCCCCTCAACCAATTGTCCATTCTAATTTCTCTATGGTAACTAATGCCCTTCCTTATCACAACTGACATAAATTCATAGATTTCTTTTTTTCCCCCAAGATATTGATTTGAAACTTCTACAGTAAAACACCCCGAGTTTCAGAGCAATGACAGTGGCTTTCCAGAAACCAGCACCTGCTGGTTATAGTGGACAGTTTCCTGCAGACCCAGGGTGATTGGAACATGTAAAAGAAGAAAATAAAATGATTCTCCCTTACCCACTGGTAAACAGTTGAAGCAGTCTGTGAAGGTCTTCCATATCTTAATATTATATCGTCTTTTGCATTCATCATAGAAGCCATAGATTCTGTGAAAAAATAATTTGTTTTAGTTACTATTACATGTCATTCACTTTATGCTACAATACTTTAATTAAACATGACTGTGCAGGCTTTTTAACCAAAACATTGACACCAAAACAATGATAACCTGATGAAAAATTAAGATAAATTAAATAATCTGAAGCATTTTGTGAAACCAGTTCATAGAGGCTTGGATGCACAGTAAAATGATTACAATATAGAAAGAGAACGCCTGCAGCTTCCAATATAACCCTTTGATTTCAAATGCCTTGACAAAAATATTGATAAAACCAACCAGGCCTCTCTATCTAACATGATAACACCTTTTTCACATGACCAACACAGACCATTTATAAATCATTCTGACAGATTTATTTCATTATAAAACCTATAATTCAGATCTTAACCTCATGAGGGAGATGTAAGTTTGCCATAAAGCTCTTTGAATTGTCAGTATTAAGNTACAGACACATCTGTGTCTGTACATAAAAATATCATGTAACAGGCATCCATAACAACTTTAATAAACAACTTAATATTTTGCTCAATGTGTCAGATTTTAACATTTAGAAATGAAAATAATTATAATGGAGAATAGTTCTCAAATACAAAATAACACTACACATTAAATGAAATAAAAGAAATGAACATAATTTTAATAAAAAAATCTAAAAAGGAAAAAAAAATCTGAACAAGATAAAACTTTTACTCACTCATAACCATGAGGATAAAGGCACCAATAACCATGATGACAGTCTGAATAAAGTCCGTCCAGATCACAGCAGTTAGACCACCTAAAAATTTGACAAGAACATATGTCAAGATCTTTGTAAACAGGACAAAAAGGGACTGGATTATCTAGATCAAGGGAATAGGAGAATTTTAAACCCACCTAGGTGAGATTGAAATTTCAATCTTGCCTAGGCGGATTTAAAATCTGCCTGGATTTCAAGTTTGCCTGTGGCTTATATATTGTTTAGCATGTCACATGTAAGTAGACTGATCATCCTGGGAAAAAAACAAGATTTTGAGCGAATATGGGTCAGAAGTATGGGTCAGAAGTAATGACAGACTACAAAGATTCTAGGATGTTTTCTACTCTCGTATGACATCATGCAGTCCAAACAGCCTCATTTTCATCTCTTTTGGATGGTTTCTATTGGTTGTTATCTTACCAGCAATGGTAAAGAGGGCAGCCAAGAGCAGGAGAGCAGTGATGGCAAGAGGTAAGTTCCAACCCATGGCCAGCTGAATGAACAGGGCTCCAGAATACAGATCTGCCTGGAGAAAGGGATGGAATATATTCAATACGATGTTTATGTCCATTTATCAGTGGTGACTGGTTTAAGTCTGGTACATTTCAGCAGACAATATGAATAGTATTTCTTTTTAATTCACTGTTAGTTACTCTGTAATTTACTGGTTTGAATATTACTTTTAAATCAATAAAATTACAGCATAGGTGTTTTAGTTTCACCAAACATGTTCCCCCTATTTCCAACAGATTTTCTTTAAAAGAACTTGTCAATCACTTACTGAAATTTTGGTGAAGACATACAAAATCAAAGTCAAGACGGCCAGATAGATCCGTATGCGTTGACCACCAAACCGCTTTCTGAGGTACTCTGGCATGGTGTAGACCTGAAAAATCAGTTTGTGAGAAAACGTACAAAGGTGGACAAACATAATTCATTCATCTATTTTGTTTTCTGTTATGTTTTTTTCTGTTATAATTTTCTTTGTTTCATTTCATAATTTATTTATCCTTTTTGTGCAAGTTATCTGCAAGATATCTCTAAAATTTTGTCAAGTGAAAACATTTTTAATGCATTTTGATTTATTAAAAACATATAGACTTGAAAGAAACATAAATAAATGCTTAGTCACTACTTCAAATTCTTCAGTAACCAAAGCCAAGCTCTGTTTGTAAAGTATTAGGAGGCTAACAATAGATTCATACAAGCTGAACCAGAAGAAGAAATAAAAAAAAATATCTGAAGATTTTAGGTTTCTCTTTGAATCTTTTTTATCATACTTTGTTTGGAGGCATTTCCTTTTTAAAGTTATAAGTTGGTTTATTCAATACACCAGCATCTTCCTTGTAGGCTGTGCACTACGCATTACAACACACCTGGATTTTTATTTTTTAAAATTTTGCTACGTAAGTGATAATAACTTCAAATTTGTAATAATCCATATAGTATTGTACTCACCCCAGCAGCAATATATACAGGTACAAATATCCATCCTAGAATGAGCAGGATAAAAATGGCCTGAAAACAATAATAATAAAGTTTAGAATGGCTTTTGAAAGTCAATACAAACAATAAATGAAGGATTTACTAAATACTAATTGATAAACTTCAGAGCTTCCGGATTTAGCATTTGTGCAAAGCATATGAGGCTTAAGTTCGAGTTACAGAACTATGCATGGGCCACAAGACTTATCTTGAGCTAAGACCAAAAACATACTGGATTTTGCACTTTCATAGCTGATTATATTAAAGGTACTCTCAATGGAATCTAACCATTAAAATGAATTTTCCAAGAGAAAAGGGGAATTTTATCCTTTTCTTTATCATTTCTCAACCAGTTCCTGCACTTGGATTTGGTATCTAATTCCATTTTTAATTTAATAATTTAGATCTAAATAACAGGACAGTCATTTACAATGATAATACCCTGGTGTCTTGTGTCCCAGTAATATGCCGTGTCTAATACAGACTTTGCAAGCTGTCATGGCTACCTGCGCAGACTCTGAAGATAATTACAACACTAGATACACTTTATTCAGATACACTTTTACTTTAAGGGGTTTCATCGTTATAAGGTCTGAATTGGGAAATATAAGAAGCTTTACAGGATATACATATGACTATGGGGGATTTTCAAATGCTTGCAACGTAACTTTAAGCTTAAACAGCCAGGTTACAGGGCATGCTAACATTTACTAGCACTGTGTTGGGCGTGGCACATGTACTCTTGTGAGTAACATGAACTTTTAAATTGTTGCTATTTTACCCTTAAGTCCTTACACAGAAGTGTTCAATGCACCAGATTTAAAATGTTATGTCTCACTCTGGTTGCTCATCGCATCCAAACAATATCAATTCATCAGAATTGTAATTCTGTTGTCCTAGTTACTGCATGTTCTATGTCTAATAATCACACAGAAATGCCCAGATATGTGATAAAAAGTTCAAGGTACAATGCTCTGTCAAGTTATTTCTGGAATAACATTAGACATAATGGAAACCATCACTGTCAACTACTAACAATAGAAAGGATGGATATAGTATACTGTAAAACTATGTAGGGTAACAAATGGAAATTGTCTCCATAAGAACCTTAGTCTTGGTAGCCTTTGACAGTAAAATGTACCTTAATTGGTTCTGTAAATATTAGGAAAAGGTACCACTTGGCCATTGATCATCTTATAAATGTTAAAAAATATTGCTTATTTTACTATATGGAAAGCAAATTTTGAGAGGCAGATTGCACTTTTAAATGAAAATAAAAAAAAAATGTATAAAAAGTGTGCAAATATGTAGAATTTAGAATTGAAAAGACAAAATTCTGCACCTAACTCAGTATTCAAGCAAGTAATTTTTAGCTTAAATTGGTCATTTCAAATTTTAAGAAGTTTTCTATAAAATAAATTAAGGTACATGCATTGTGAGATTAAATTTATAACTAATCTTTTCTTTTAAATCACAAGACAAAGTTCTTCAGCACCACAGCCATCTGCTTTGTAATAATAAAAAAGGTACACATTATTACAGTACTCACACTGTTTTAGAACAAGGCACAAAGTGAATATAGTAGCCACAGTAGCTTGTACTGGCCAGACACTTAGTACTTGAGGCATATCATTTGTTAAATGGAGACCTCTTGTCTTGTTGACAATTCTGCATACATCTAGGCTTAGGTGTGCACAAGAGACCATGCAGGTATCACATGTTTGAAATATGTCAAATGTATTGTTGGGTAACAATTCTAACATGATCATCCATCTAAATGTGATTCTAATTATACCCCTGGTATGCAAGACAGTTTCTTTGCACAATACATTACACAACCCTACAATAAGTAAAGTGAAACATATTCTAAATAAACTGGACAACAATGATTTTTTTAAAAGTGAATGTTCATGTTTTCTGGCAGTTTTCAAATGTCTATTTATGGGATTCATCTGCAGCAGCATTCTCACAGGTGGTTTGAGACTAGAACCCATCAAAGTACCAGCTAGGATAAGCATCCCATTAAAACTTCAAAGGGTAAATTGATAGATGGTGGCAACATGGGTACTTACTTGAAATTGCTCTAATTTTCAGTGGAAACTATCTGTATATCTGGCTACAAACCCAAATAGCAGTACAAATCATTAGCGGTGGCCTTTTTATGCAGAAGGTCATATAAAAATGAAATTTATTTTTATATGTGTTCACACGCACTGCAAAATGTCTGACTTAATAACCTGCTGTTTTCAATTTCTGGGAATTTCATTTCAAACGGACCTTTTCTATGAAAATTCTTTACCTTAATGAAACAAGAAGACAGAATATTTTCAACATGACAGCAACTGTTCAAAGCACAACTACATGCAAAGGCACTAAAACGTGAAGTCACACATGTACATCAGATTGTGTTAAAATTGACTTTCCATAGTTTATGTAAAATCTGGACAAGGACTGAAACAAACCAAGTTCTTCATTTTCAACTTTTCCAAACATGTCCCTTGTAGAACATGTCTGAACTTCAGGAATATTTAATCAAACTTTTCACAGCACCTATCACAAATCTTTGTCTAGTAACCACTCTTTAAGTCTCACGAAAGAAAAGAAGTTTTGCAGGACTTTTGCAAATGCATAAAGTTTACCTTTAAATGGTGATTTAGATAATAATTTAATACATTTAAAAGATATCTTTAGAAACCAAAGTACAACTGATTACAAAGAATTCAGTGGCCGTGAATCAAGTTCACCAGATACATCAAGTATATATGCCCTGCCAATACTAACAAAATCATCTTCTGAGTCAACATGCCGCCCTCTGATAAGGGAGAACTGAGACAGTGATTCTAAAAACACACCCATCAGTTGCTATAACAAGATAGTCATCCTACATTAAACTTGAAGACAATATTTATCCATTAAGGCTGCAGAATTATCCAAGAGGTTGCAAATTCATCACGCTATATCTACAGGCATGTCACTTTTGCATTATAGAATTTTTGGAATATTTCTCTTCATAAAACATTTCACAATCAAAAAATGAGTCTAGGACAGGAGAGATGCTAATTTTTCTAAAACCTCTCTTCAATTTATTCTCCATTCTCCTTTCAAAAATAAAAAATCACCCTTTTTAAAATCTACATGTACCCGCAAAACAATCTGACCTCTATTATCAGTGTTGAAAAAGTTGACAAAGAAAAAACATGCAACGTCAATAGACGCAAAGAATTGGCATCTCATTTATCAGTCCCCACAGGGAGGTGTGGTGTCAAGGTCACTGGTATCATGCAGTGAACAGGTGAGACTGGGCAAATCACACCCAAAAAAATTCTACTGTAAAGTTCCACCTGTTTCGTCTTATTCATAGGATTCTGACTCTTTTCCTTGGACATATTTCTATTATTATTCATTAATTAAATAAATTTCGAAGTCAGGTAAAAATAGCACTGAACAGCACTTTTTCTGAACTTTGGTTCTAATCTGAATTTTAAAATAAGATGTTATAACTTTTCACAGTAAAGCAGATTCAGCCAAATGTGCCCAAAAAAGCATTAGAAATCACCAACTATAAATATCAAGAATAAAAAGAGAGACACCAATTCTATGTGAAAGGGAATTTTAAATTTTCAAAATAAAAAAAAATTAAAATATATATATATATATATATATATATATATATATATATATATATATAT